GCGGCACTGGTGCTCCGTCCACAGGATCCACTTCTGCACGTTGCCGGGGCTCCAGTCCGCTGGGTCTGGAGGCAGAGGGTGAGCATGGCCCGTGACAGCCCGTGCAAAGCCCGGGGAAACTCAGCTCACCTCACAGCAGCCCCAGGAAACCATTCCCCCAGCCCCGTTGTGGCGTCGCCCACCAGGGTGGGAGCACTCCGCTCTCAGCCTGCCCCAGTCCGCAGCGATGGGACCATTCCCTCCCCACCTCCTTCACTTCAGGAAGCCTCATCCAGCCTTTCCAAGCCCTGTTTGCTCCCTGCACTGTCCCGGGTGACACCAAATGCTTCAAGGGTGGCAAAGCCTGCGTAAGCCTAAGCACATCCAGAGACTGCTTGTGTCACGGCAGCGATGTGCCATGGCAGTGGTATCCCAAGGGAGATGTCCCAGGGATGCCCCATGGCAGTGATACCCTACGGGATTTGCTCCTGGGCTGTCCTTCTCCCCTTACACCCAACCCCATGTCCGGTTTGGGTAATGCCAGCTGGCTCCAGGCTGTTCCCAGCCCCACAAGCTTATTTGCCCGTTCTGAACATCCCAGAGAAAATGGGATGGAGAAAAGGATAATAAAAGTCCTTCTGTTCGCTCCTCACTGCCACACGCCCTTGCCAAGATGTGTGCGAGGCTGAAAGGCACCTCCATAACGACACCCTGGGAGGGGAAGGGACCCCCAGCCCAGGAAGGGGACGAGCTCAGCGTGGGGTCACCACGTCCCTGCATCTCTCTGGCTCTGCAGCACCGGCTGTGTCCCACTGGCACCCCACAACCCAGCACAGGGCCCAGCGGAGAGCTCTGCTAACCCCTGCCTCAACGTAACTCCAAGCCAGTGAGGGCATTTTGCTGGCATCCCTGGGCATCAGCAAACAGCCCTGCCCGGGAGTGATGCCCGGGGGACCCCAGGCAGCAGCAGCGCTCACCCAAACCCCAGCACCAGGTTGCAAATCCCCGTAGCTGCAGCACGGCTTTAGTCCCCACACCGGCGCGTCCCTCCCTGGCGTGGCCAACCCTGG